ATAGCCGTGGATTTGTCCTCCAGTAAGTGTTTCAGCAAAAGTTCCTCGGACTGGATTACTAATTGTCCTTAAAATCTAAATGACCTTAATAAAGGCGTAATTAAAAGGGCTCTTTATTCTGCATAGTAAGAGCAATGAAATAATATATGGGGGAGGGACTCTATTGACTCGGAAGGGCATGAGCAGAATCTCAGATGTCTGGGGATACGTTGAAATCTTCCGGAAAGAACTGCAGATGGAAAAGTGTCAAATCTGGCTCTGGAAGCTCCATGACCTCTTTGCCGGTACTTTGTATGTTACCAGTGGTTGTACTGACTCAGCCTTCTTGCTTTTTTAGCTGTTGATGTTTTTACTTAGACACCTTTACATTTATTTATTTAGCCAAAATGTTTTCTGTTACACCTTTTAATATAACTTACCATTTGCCTGCTCTCTGAAGGCAACCCACTACCGTCAGTCCCAATTCCCTACCTTCAAGAAATTGAGGAGTGGAATATAAAATTGCTGGAAAATGAACTCCAAAGTGATGAATTTTTTCCATGTCTCTATGGTCTTTACCATACAGATTAGGGGGAAATTCATAGAACATCACCCAGAAATGATGTCAAATACTCCCAAAATCCACCCTTCCCAAGCACTGCCTCACAAGCTCCCAGAATTTGCCGAGGCACTCCTAGATTTCTGTGTCAAGCAACCTTTTTCCTATGCTTGAAACAAGCACAAACTTGGGAAATAACTCTGGAAGGGACTTGGAATGGCAGACAGTGAGGGAAACAATACTTAAGTTTTAATAGTTATTGGACATGTAAAATTAACATAAGAAAAAGCAGGACATTCTGGTAGATTGACAGAGCAATATGGAATACTAAATTTGGGAAATTCCTGAAATGCAGATAACTAGATAGCATACAATTTTACACCAACATATATGAAACTAGCAACAACAGTGTAGGAGAGCCAGTTTAGTATAGTGGTTAGGAGCGCAGACTCTAATTTGGGAGAACTGGGTTTGACTCTCCACTCCTCCACATGCAGCTGCCGGTGTGACCTTGGGTCAGTCATAAGTTCTTTCAGAGCTGTTCTCCTAAGGACAGTTCTGGAAAGAGCTCTCTCAACAGGGTGTCTGTTGTGGGGAGGGGAAGGGAAAGGAGATTGTAAGCCACTCTGAGACTCCTTTGGGTAGTGAAGGGTGGGGTAGAAGAGAAGAGATTGGATTTATACCCTGCCCTTCACTGTATAAATCCAATCTCTTCTTCTTTAACAAGCAAATCAGAAGACTCCGAGTGGAAGCTGTCCTAGTTATGCTAGATATTCCTACATGAGGCTGGTCCAGAAAGTCAGACCCCACCCCTGATGTTGTTCACTGCACAGTGTCCCCAGGTGGAGGGGGGCAGGGGGCCAGAGGATGCAGGTTCTTTTTGCATAGTGCTTCAGTGAAAGGTTGAGACTTAGGAAGAAGGAAGAGTGGGAGTCTTAGAGCAGCAGAGTAGAAAGTTTCATGCGCTGCTTAGTCTGGAAATCTTAATGCCACTGAAGAGGTTCCAAAGCAGTGAGGGGAAGGATCCAGGTGAAGAGGAGGGGTCTCTGACCAGTGATTTCAGTGGTGGAGGAACAATCCTTGTGGATCAGATTGAACCTAATTTCTCCCTTGCTGGGATGCTATCTTTATCCTATTTCCCCCTGCAGTTCTCCCTGGAAATAAACACCCCACTGCTCAGCTACTTTTACTTGCCTCTGGAGAAAATGTATAGATATATGAATCTTCCCCCACCCCCTTCCCAGTTGGGCTATAAGCATCCCAGGGTGGCTTTTTGAGAAAAGAAAAAAAGTTTTTAAAACTGATGGGGGGGGGGAGTAAGAGGTAATTTGATCCTAAGAGGGTGCTATGCTATGGGAGAGATCTCTTCTGGAAAGGTATTGTTGAAAGGTCATACAAATGTCACATTGGTGGAGGAGCTGGTGGAGGAGCCCCTAGTGGTCTGTCTGATGTTATTAGGTCCTGGCTGTAAGAACAGTGTTGCCGGGGTTTATTTAGCACAGAGTTGACATCTGTGTTTGTTGCAGGGTCTGGTCCCAGGGCTTGTGTGTCTGTTACGTGGCTCATTCTTGCTGAAAAGTTTTAGTTTGGGAGACTGTCTCTTAAGAGAATCTAGGCCTATAACCCAAGACTTGAATAAATGTAGGCCTCTGCTGCAGTTATTTAGTGCACTGGTACAACGTCAAGCAGTTTCATGGATCTAAAGAGGAAAGAGAAGCAGAAAGAAAGGATTGTGTATATAAATGCTGGGAATGTCCTCTTCTGTACCATGGCAACAATATTTAAGAATATTGCTCTAAGACACAAAGGTTGCTCTCTCGGGCTTCTCACATACCAAGATACACCAACACTTTACTAATTTATTGTATCCTGACCTCAGTGAAAACAGTGTGTTCATTTTTTAATGTTCATTGCTCGGAATATATTGCTTAGAAAATTTATTTTTGGAAGCATTGTAATTTATGTGAACTTTATGACTGACTGGTGGTAGCTTGACTATAAAATTGACATTTATAACTATGCTCCTGGTAATTTCCTTGACTTGCTCAGAACCTAAGCAGACATCCATTGCAATTGGTGCTTCCCACTGTGCCTGGAGGCACAAATGAGAATATTTAATTTGGGGGGGGGGGGCTGTTGACTAACTTCCCCAATGAATTTTAACAGCAATTACAGCTTGAGCCGCAGGCATTTCCTGAGGACTGAAGAGCTGCCTGAGTTTAATGGATCGCGGCAGAGCCTTGGGCTATCAACTTTTTCATTAATCCAGGAAATACCTTGGGCTGCAATCATAATTGCTGACATTCTTGCACAAACACTGATTACAGAAGTTAATAAAGTGACAAAGGAAAGAGCCAAAGGAAACAACAGTGCTTGTTCTCACATGGATCTGTTGCAATGTTTATTTGCCTCCGAACATAGGGGTCTGTAGGAGAAATAACAAAAACACAATTTATAATTATAATGTTGCAGCAGACTGGTTGGGACGTGCACAAGGAAATTCAAATCCAAGGGTGCAAGTTTAGGTTCTAGAGACAGTGTTCTCTTAGAATTTGCAATCTTCATGTCTGTTCATAATCTGAATAGTTTCCTTCTTCAAATAGTTGGTGGCTTCTGGCCAAATGCCCTGTCAAAATCTCTTTCTGATCTGGAATGAACTGGGCTTCTGAGTGTCTTTGGAACTGGAAGCAAATGCTTATGCATGATACCGCATTATCTCACCTTGAGTTCCAGTGCTCCTCAGTGAAATTCATGTCAGACTAAGGTAGGATTGCCAGCTTTGGGTTAGAAAATACTGGGAGATTTCTTTTGGGGGGGGAGCCTGGAGAAGGTGGAGTTTGGAGAGCGAGGGACCTCAGCAAATGGTAATGCCATAGAGTCCACCCTCCAAAGCAGCCGGGGGAATTGGTCTTGGTCATCTGGAGAGCAACTGAAATAGTGGGGGATATCCAGGTGCCACTTGCAGATTGGCAACCCAAGACGGGGGGATGCCAGACTGCAACCTGAAAATCCTACCCATAACTTTTAAATTTCTTTTTTTTAAATACATTTTCTTTATTCATTTTTACAATAAAATATCAATTTATAACATAATATACATCCATAGATTGCAGAAACGTTCCCATATTCCACCATATATTGCCTTCTGATTTCTTATCAAGTCATAGCTTTTATATATGATGATTTCCCATAAAGCACTTATTTGTCTTTACTCCCTATTACATATATATCATCCTTGTTTTTCCTTCAACCATCTAGAAAACTTCAACCAAAATTTTCAAAATCAAAACTTAACATATCATAGCTTTTATTTATAATGATTCCACAATTCCTTCTGGTTTCTCATCAAGTCCTAGCTTTTTTATCTAATGATTTCCCATAAAGCACTTATTTGTCTTTAATCCTCATCATATAGATTCCATCCTTGTTTTTCATTTAACCATCTATAAAACTTTAACCAATTTTTTTTAAATTTCCCATCCTTTTTCTTTCATAAGAAATTTTAATTTCTCCATCTCAGCAACCTCTAATATTTTTTTAATCACTTCTTCTCTCGTAGGAGTTTCTTCATTTTTCCACTTACTAGCATATAAAATCCTGGCTGCAGTAATAATATGCATCACTAAATAACTTTCCTTTTTCTTAAAGGTATCTGGGATAAAGTTTAGTAAAAAACATTCCGGTTCGAATGGTATCGTTCTACCCAACATCTCATCAATCATCTCTTTGAGCAGCTTCCAATATTTTTTTTGCCTTATTGCATAGCCACCATAAATGAAAAAAAGTTCCATCTCTTTGTTTACATTTCCAACAGTTTGTCCCGATTTTCTTATCAAACCTATTCAACCTAACTGGAGATATATGCCATCTGTAGAACATTTTTATAATATTTTCTTTAAACGAAGTTGTTCTGAACCATTTTATATTTTTCTCCCAGACCTTTTAAATTTCTGTGGCAGCATGAAAGCACACAGCACCTTCATTAGTGGTCTCTATTTGTGCCTTTCCTCAGTATGGTTACCAACCTCCAGGTGGGGCCTGGAGAACTCTTGGAATTACTACCCATCTCCAAACTAGAGAAATCAGTTCCCCTGGAGAAAATGGCTGCTTTGCAGTTTGGAGTCTATATCATTATATCCCACTGAGGCTTCTCCCCTTCCCAAACCTCACCCTCCCCAGGTTCCACCCCCAAATCTCCAGGAATTCCCGAACCTGGAGCTGGCAACTGTATGTTACAAGTAGTGCTCATAGGAGAAGAGTAAAGGATGGGGACCACACTGACTTCATTCTCATATACTGCCTCAGAATTTTTCCATACTGTAACAAAAAATCCTGGATTATACATACATACTGCCTTATACTGAATCAGACCGTTGCCCCATCACAGTCACAGTATTATCTACTCAGACTGGCAGTGGCTCTCCATGGTCTCAGGCATCTCCTAGTGCCACATGCTTTTCAGTGGAGATGCCAGGGATTGAACCTGGGACCTTCTGCATGGAAAGCGGATGCTATACCCCTAAACCACAGCTCCTCCCCAATAATCTGGCAGAAGCAACAGTCCCTGCAGCTTTTGCTGCTCTATTTGCACAATGCCACCATTGTTCAATAAGAATGCTCTGAACCGTAATCAAAGGCATTGTCTGTGTGAGTGTGTAAAGTGCCATCAAGTTGCAGCTGACTTATGGCCACCCCAACAAGGGACTTAGGAGGCAAGTAAGAAGCAGAGGTGATTTGCCCTTGCCTTTCTCTGCAGAGTCTTCCTTGGTGGTCTCCCTTCCAAGTGTGTTCCTTCTAAACTTAGTGTGAGCTAGCTCACAGTTTTTTTAGCCTCCAGCTCACACATTTTTCACACAACCACCACACAACATAGTTTTCTCTCTAACAGATTTTTAAAAATATAAATGTGTGATGGATAGCATATCTCCTCCCATTGGGGTGTGTGTCTCAATTTCCAGTACAAAAGAACTGGAAAATAAATGCCTTAACTTTTAGAAGAAGTGTAGAAGATTAGGTTTTTATACCCCACTTTTCTCTACCCAAAGGAGTCTCAGAGCAGCTTACAATCACCTTCCCTCTCCTCTCTCCACAACAGACACCTTGTGAAGTAGGTGGAACTGAGAAAGTTCTGACTGGCCCAAGGTCACCCAGTAGGTCTCGTATAGTTCTCCAGATTACAGCCCACCTCTCTTAATCACTACACCACACTGGCTCTGTTGTGAAGGCTGAGTCTCATTCAGGGTTGCCAGGTCCCACCAGCCATTGGCAGGGGATGGGGGGTAGGGTTGCCAGCTCTAGTCTTGGAAACTCCTGGAGATTTGGGGGTGGAGCCTGGGAAGGACAGGGACCTCAGTGGGGCACAGTGCCATAGAGGCCACCATACAGAGCATCCATTATCTCCAGGGGAACTGATCTCTGTAGTCTGGAGATGAGCTGTAATTCCAGGGGATTACCAGGTCCCACCTGGGGGCTGGCATCCCTAGCTGTCGTTGTGCTTTGAATTATATGATCAGGAGCATACTAGGACACAATTGCTTTCCACTTTCTCCACATTGCTCCCCTTTGAACCCTTGGACCTCCCTGATACCCTTTCTTCCTCCCCAACTACTTGCTAGTAATGATAACAGCAGGAGCACTCATAGCAAGGAGGGCTGACATCAAAGCCTTGTCAAGTTGTTGCAGCGGTGTTCCAGGCATAACAGCTCCTGGGAAATGTAGTTTTCCATAACTCCTATATCCTTAACTACATTTTCTAGCATCAATGGCATGAGAGCCAGTTCGGTGTAGTGGTTAAGTGCACGGACTCTAATCTAGGACACTCTTCCACTTGCAGCTGCTGGATGACCTTGGTTCTGTCAGAGCTGTTCTCTCAAGGACAGTTCTGGAAAGAGCTCTCTCAGCCCCACCTACCTCACAAGGTACCTGTTGTGGGGAGGAGAAGGGAAAGGAGTTTGTAAGCCATTCTGAGATTCTGATTGAAGGGCGGGGTATAAATCCAATCTCCTCCTCCTCCTCTTCTTTTGAAAAGCATGCTCATGATATGTCAGAAGGACTGCTTCTTCCCCTATGTACCATCAGGACAGTGAGCCCTACTGGAGGTTCCATCTCTCTGCTAGGCAGGCCTCGGTTCCGGAGCACACCAGAGCACCGCCCTGCCAGTCAGGAGCCAAGGGGGCGGGCACATAAGCGCCTGTGATTTTGGAGCCTCTCCCTCAAACCCCCTCTCCTCCAGCCCCCAGAATATACCCTATGTTTTCACCATTTACTTCAATGGCCCATAGGATATAATGGGGCCGAACTGCTGGAAGCCGATTCAGATCAGAGAATCTGATTCGACCCGTAGCAGCCTGAAAGGGGCCTGAATGGGCCATTTTCGGGGGTGCATTTGGTTCAGACGAACCGAATGCACATCCCTCCAGCAGCCAGCTTGCTCGGGCTCTCTGCAGCCACGGGGATCTTGAGCAAACCACTGCCTCTCCTTCCCTCCAGCAACCGGCTTGCTCGGGCTCTCTGCAGCCGCGGGGATCCTGAGCAGTGTTCCCTCCAAGCTGAGTTAGTGTGAGCTAGCTCACAGTTTTTTAGCCTCTGGCTCACACATTTTTGTCTTAGCTGAGGAAGGATAGCTCCAGGGCAAACTAATTTATGCAGTAACCTAATCGCTAGTCCACAACTTTAATGCCAGTAGCTCACAAAGTAGAATTTTTGCTCACAAGACTCCACAGCTTAGAGGGAACATTGATCCTGAGCAATCCAAGGGAAGGGAAGGTGGTTTAAACAATGCCTCTCCTTCCCTCCAGCAGCTGGCTTGCTCGGGCTCCCCAAGCAAACCAAGGGAAGGGAAGGCGGCGAAGCAGCTGGAGACATTGAGCCTCAGCTCCATGAGTAATGAGCACTCGAGCCCCGCCCCCAGCAGCCCTCAGGCCGGAGCACCTGGAGCAGTCTTGGGAGGCGGATTGGCAAAAAGCAAAACCAAAAGCGCAGGAACTTGAAAGAACTCCAGGAATGGAGCCAGTTCCTCTTCCACAGCCCAAATGCAACCCACAAATCCTGAGCTTGCTTTTTCTCATTTGCGAATCTGGCCTCCGCACTCCTTTAATGAGGCAGCCCTGAAGCTTGGGGCAGTGGGAGTTTCTTTGCACGCAGCTTGTGCGGCTGGCTGAGTGCCTCTTCTGCTTGCCCACCTCTCGCCTCTGCAACTCATCTTCTGCCAGGCATGGAGGAGCCCAGCTCGCCCAGGCTTCTTGCCTCCTGCTGCCTTGGCCCTCTGGTGCACGGGTGAGTCCCCAAAGTTTGACTCTTCCACTACAAGTCTCTGGCGCTGGAGGTATTCGCCTCCTTCCCTCCTGCCTGCTATGGCTGCATCATTGTGAGAGATTTCTTAACATAGTGTTCTTGCCAGGGAAGCTGGGGACCCTGTCCATGAGTCTCCATTTCATCCTCACAACAACCCTGTGGGGTAGGTTAGGTAGAGAAGGGGAGATTTGGCCCGGGGTCACTCAGCCAGCAGAGTGAGAATACAAACCTGGGTCTCCCCACATCAATCTGCAACTCTGACCACTGTGCAGTGCTGCCTCTACTGATCTGTAATGTTCCAGAGGTGTTGTAATGTAATACTCAGTTTCTCAAACAAGTGTATGCCTGTCTGTTGGTCCACTTAGGAGTCTTGATCCTGGTTGTGTGGTGGGCTAGTTGTGGCAAATGGTAGGGAAGCTCAGTATTTCTGTATACAGTTGTAGGGGCTTTATTGTCATAATGCTGATTGTGTGAACTTAGGCAAATCACGAGAGGTAGAGCAGGAAGGGTTGCATCAGTGCTTAGTTCTTGTGGCCCTTTCTTACATGCCCAGGGAAATGCTGATCGCCACTTTGGGGCCAGGAAGCAATTTTTCTCCAGGCCAGTTTGCCCCCCAGTGATCCTGGAGGGTTTTTTTAAATCATATTCTGGGCATGGAACAGGGGTCACTGGGGTGTGTGGGGGGCATTGGTGAATTTCCTGCATTGTGCAGGGGTTTGGACTAGATGACCCTGGAGGGCCCTTCCCACTCTATGAGTTTATGATTCTATAATTCACCCAGGCTGGCTGTGGGCACGCCAGCATCTCTGTCAGGCAGAAGCGCCTGAGATCCTCCCCCTCCCCTTTTCCTTCACCCAACTTGGAGGCGAAGGGAAGGGAGAGGGGGGAAAGAATGTATCCCAGATGCTTCTGCCTGTCAGAGGGGCTGGTGCACACTTCCGGTGATGTCAGGGTGTGTGGCATATGCTAATAAGTTATGCTAATGGGCTCCTGCAGTAGGGAGGCCATCACTTTTGTGGAAGGTGGCAGGAGTTGACTTAACAGATGACTGCTTCTTAAATGGACAGTTCTATGTGGCCTGCTCCAGAGTGAGCTCCCCAAGCAGCCTGGTGATCCTAGCACCTGAGGGCAGAACCACCAATGTGGTCTAGAGAGAGGTCCTTCAATAGAGAGAGAGAAAAGTACGTATGTCTCACTTAATTTCTTACACTACATCTTCTCTGTTAGAATTCCTACAACAAATGTCACATTTCAAATTTCACATCATCAGTATTATAACTGGATTTATGGAACTTAAATACCATATCAAAGCACGGGTAGCAGGCTAGTAATAACAATAGCAAAGTACCCAACAGTGGTCAGTCTTTTTTTATTATTTGTGGCTTCGGCATGCATTCCTAGATTTAATTGTTTATAATAATTTAATAATTTGATGTAACCATTCAATAATTTAATTTAAACCATTTAATAATGGGTGTAACCATTTAATTGGTCTCAACAATAGTTACTTGCTAGATGAGATCCCAGAAAACATAGCTGCATATAAATCCCATCAAAATTACAGGGACAAGTTAATTATTGTGGCTAGCTTAAGTCAAGGGAATTTAAAGGTGACTATTATTATAAGCCGTTTAACAGGCCAATGTACCAAATATGCATGCTGAAAGTTCTCTGTGTTGGGGCCACAGTATAGAACAAATGACTTAGCCAGGAAAATATGAACTCATGTGTGGCTTCTAAGTGATTTTTAAATTCTGCTACTGGCTATTAAAACATATCTGTCTCTGGTACAGCTCTTTATGAAACCAGGAAAGCTTGAGAACAGTAATGAAACATAAACCTGTGAAGAGGCAACAAGCAATTTTTCATAAGGGTCAGTCTGGGGTCCAGTGTTGTTCAAAATGCTGTAGAGAATATGCTCAGCGAAGCTGTAGTAAGTACAAAATTTGCATGATGGGGTAAAAAATTCAAAAATAACCTCAATCAATTGCAGAACAGGTCTGCAAGCAATAAAATGTATTATGCTCTGAGAATATATGAGAGAATTTCAGCTAAACTCCAGGGATACTGAGAATTGCAGTGAATTATGACTTAAATAGAACCCAGAAATGTGATATTCTTTGCCTCAAACAGAAATAAATGTTACTTTGGATGGAGCTGAGCTGAACCTTTGTGAGTTTCTTTTTTTTGTTAAAATCCTCACATTGGAAGGAGAGCCTTTTGGCAAACAGCTGGATTGCA